CGTCGTCCCTCTTCAGGGTCGGCGGCATCGAACGTAAGGCCATCGTACTAGAGGTCGCGCGGAGGAAAAAAAAAATCCGGGATAGGATAGGGCAAGGACAACAAATGAGCCTGGCGAAGAATACAGCCATATGCGCATGTGAGTAACGCAGTTGTAAACATCGTCTTCGGTGGAGCTCCCTATGGGGCCACAGCGTGTGAAAGGTGTGCCGAACTGGGTGCGGGGACGCATGCGAGAACTGCCACTGGGGCCTTCGGTGGAGCTCCTTCTGGGGCCGGGCCACGAAACATATGAGTGGTGTGCCGAAATGGGCACGGGGGGCGCATGCGAGGACCGCCACCGAGGCATTCGATAGAGCTCCCTATGGGGCCACGAACCGGGTGAAGGATGCGTCGTCGTGGGGGCCTGGGGCGCATGTTAGAAAAGCAGCTGGGGCCGACGGTAGAGCTCCTTCTGGGTCGGCGAAGCGTGTGAGGGGTGTCGAAATGGTCGCGGAGGACGCATGCGAGAACCGCACAAGAGGTTCCCAGGGAGCCCGATGAGGCCCCCAGTGGGATCCCAAAAGGCCCCCGCGAGGCTCGCAAGAGGCCCCAAAATTCCTCCCCTGAGGCCCCCGAAAGCCTTCCAAAGAGACCCCAAGAAGCATCCCTGAGGACTCGGGCCCACGTCAGCGCCGTCGTCCTTGCCGCCGCCACCGACGCCATCGCCGTCAACGTCCCCCTTCAGGGTCGGCGGCACGGGCCGCAAGGCCTTCGCAATAATGGAGGGTACGTGGGGGCTGGGCAGGGGAGACGGTGGAACGCGGACGAGACTTGTTAAGAACGGGGAGGAAGGGGCCGAGGGGGGGCGGTTCAGGATGGGGATCGGAAGGCAAAAGGGTGGGGAAGGATGGGCGGAAGGAGATAGGAGGGGAGATGGGAAAGAAGGCAGGATGTGCACGCATGCCATCCACGCGTCTGGCCGGCAACGCAAGGCGGCGGTGGCGGCGACGGCCACGACCGCGGCGGCACCGGCGATGGCGACGACGGCGAAGGCTGCGGCGATGGCGACGCTGGCATCGACGGCGGTTTCGACGTGGAGGTGGACCTGGACGAAGATCCGCGCCGAATCCGCGCCGCACACCAGACAAGTGCGAAAAACACGTGCGGGCCGCGCCGCGTGAGGGTTGCGCTGTTTGGCCGGCAACCTCGCCGCAGCTGGAAGCGACGGTGTGCCGGTGGACTGTAAAGCGGGGGAGCGCACCTTGGATGGTTCCTTGGTCCTCTCGCTATCGCTCGGACGTCCATTGCCCGTGCATGTTTCGGTTGCGTGCGTGTTTTTTTTTTGCTCGATGGTCCAGGATGGTCCTCCACGGTTTCGCCGAGGAAAAAAATGCACACGTCCGAGCGATGCCAGGTCCTCTGGTGTGGCACAGACGCGCTGCGTTCCATTGTCGGCACCAGACGCCCCTCGCCCCTCCACCCACAGGCGAATGCGAAACCTGTTTGGCAGTGCTTGCACGACCATACGCGGCGTGCGTAAGACGTTTGATGCTGTCATTTGTCTGAGCTGGATGTATGCAGGGCTGGTGATGCATAGGATCTTCCCTTTTCGCAGGCATGCGGACGCTCGACATTCGATGACTTCATCACTCACGACGAAGCAACTTCCGTAGCGAAAGGAGCAAAGTGACTACGGGTGTGCTTCGTCCCCAAATGTTTCGTGGGGGGTGGATTTTCTTCTCTGCCGCGTCGCACCCGCGTTCCTTTTTCTCCTCCTCCTCCTCCTCCTCCTCCTCCTCCTCCTCCTCCTCCTCCTCCCCAACCTTTCGCTTCTCCGTCTCGCTCGCACTTACAAAGCCGCCGTGGCAGACGTGGCACTTCTTCGACACCACAGGGGGTGCGCTGGAGGTGGTCTCCCTGTCCGTTTCGGGCGTGGAACTTTCTCGACACCATGGGGGGTGCGCAAGGGGAGGTCCCTCACCGTGGTCTCTATCCGTCTCAGGGCCGCAAGGCGCGGCAAGCGTGGCATGTCCTCGACACCATAGAGGGTGCGCAGGGGTGGTCTTTCACCGTGGTGTCTATCCGTCTGAGGGCCGCAAGTCGTGGCACACGTGGCACTTCCTCGACACCATACGGGGTGAGCACGGGGTGGTCCCTCACCGTGATCTCCAGCCGTCTCAGGGCCGCAAGGCGTGGCAGGCGTGGCACTTTCTCGACGTCAGAGGGGGTGCGCAGGGGGTGGTCTCTCACCGCGGTCGCCATACGCTCCAATGTCGCAAGGCCCAGCAGGTGTGGCACTTTCTCGACGTCAGAGGGGGTGCGAAGAGGGTGGTCCCTCACCGCGGTCTCTATACGCGCCCATGTCGGAGGGCCCAGCAGGCGTGGCACATTCTCGACGTCAGATGGGGGGGTCGCAGGGGGGGTCTCTCACCGCGGTCGCTATGCGCGCCAATGTCGGAGGGCCTAGCAGGCGTTGCACGTTCTCGACGTCAGAAGGGGTGCGCAGGGGTGGTCTGTCACCGCGGTTTCTATTCGCGCAAAGGTCGCAGGGCATATCAAGCGTGGCACTTTCTCGACGTCAGAGGGGGGGGGGCGCAGGGGGTGGTCTCTTACCGCTTGCTATACGCGCCGATGCCGCAGGGCCTAGCAGGCGTGGCACTTTGTCGACGCCAGAGGGGGTGCGCAGGGGGTGGTCTCTCACCGCGGTCTCTATACTCGCCAATGCCGCAAGGCCTAACAGGCGTGGCACTTTCTCGACGCCAGAGGGGGTGCGCAGGGGGTGGTCTCTCACCGCGGTCTCTATGCGCGCCAATGTCGGAGGGCCTAGCAGGCGTTGCACGTTCTCGACGTCAGATGGGGTGCGCAGGGGGTGGTCTCTGACCGAAGTTTCTATACGCGCCAATGTCGCAGGGCCCAGCAGGCGTGGCACTTTCTCGACGCCAGAGTGGGTGCGCAGGGGGTGGTCTCTCGCCGCGGCCTCTATACGCGGCAATGCCGCAGGGTCTAGCCAAGGCCACACCAGCCTAAAAGCCTCGCTTCTGGGTCCTCGAACCCCGAAGCTTCCTCTGATCCAGTCGCCAGCGGTCGGCGGGCCATGCCCACTGGTGCTGCCCCCGCTTCGCGAGTGCACAGCCTCTTGGGGAGGCGCCAGTGACGCCGCCGCTCGCCGTCGCCGCGGTCGTCAGGACCCCGTGCAACGGCGACATCCGTAGACCAGGACACTGGCACGTCTGCGAGAGCAGCAGCCACGGGCCGAACCACTCTCCGTTCTTCGTTCCCCTGGCAAAATCCTGGTTTGCATGCAGTCGGCCCGTATCAGAAGGATACGCGAGAAGGATGCAGGGACCTTGGACGCCCATTGCGGCCAAGGATGGACCGAGGATGCAAAGATGCAAGTGTATCCTCGGGAAGGTTGCCCATTCTTACCATGCGGGTTGACTGTAGTCCTGCTGGCACGCCCAGGGTGGGTATGGCAAGACAGGGCACGATGCCCTTCAACAAGGGTGGCCCAGAACGGGCAGCGGCCGCTCTGACTACCTTTTTTCCAGCACAACAAGATGAACATGTGAGTTGGGTGCAGAGTTAGCGCGATTGTAGACTCGGGCGCACATTATCATGAAGATTCAGATGGCCATTCAGAGGCCATAGTCTTGCTATTGAGCAATTCGCTAGCAATCCCTTGGGTCGGGGCCCAGGCGTCGGCAAGGCGCCCCCGTGACATGCAACCGCGCCATCAAAGAACGCCTGCTTCACTTATGGGTAGAGACCCGGAGATATTTAAAACAGAATGCAACATGGCGCGCTACAAAAAAATATGAATCCGCCGACCCTGTTGGCGTGTGCGAGGGGCTTCTCCGTTCGAGTTGTCGTCCCCGTCGTCTCCTCGTCGTCTTCGTCGTCACAGCCGTCTCCTCGCCGTATCTGTCGTCCCCCGTCCCTTTACCTGGGCCCTCCTCAAGCGTGCCATCCAAAGCGAAATTGTACAACGTTGTATTGGAGTCGAAGGGAAGCCCCTTCCCTTTGATCTCTGCCCCGCGTGGGGGGGGGCCCGGGGGAGGGTCCCCACCCAGATTCGTTTTTCCCTGGGCGGCCCCGACATATCGAACAGCCCCAAAAAGAACTCAGAATGCCGAAGATGGCTCCCAAGATTACCCACAAGAGCCCCGTGTCGCTCAAAGTTCGGCCCAACACGGCCAAGATGGCCCCAGGACGATCCAAGAAGCCTCTGGGACGTCCCAAGAGCTCTCCAAGAACACCCCCACCAAGGCTCCAATATTCTCCTCCCCTCCTCCTCCTCCTCTCCCTTCTCCTCCTCCTCCTCCTCCTCCTCCTTCTCCTCCTCCTCCTCATCTGTCCCCCTCCTCTTCCTCCTCCTGCTCCTTCTACTACTCCTACTCCTCCTCCGCCTCCCTCTCATCCTTTCCCTCCTCCTCAGTATCCTTCTTCTCATTTTCCTCCTCATGTGTTGTCCTCCTCTTCTTCCTGATTCTCCTCCTCCTCCTGACCTTCCTCTTCTTCCTATTCCTCGTCCTTCTCTTCATCCTCGTTCTTTTCCTCCTCCTCCTCGTCTTAAGGGTCGGCGGCACTGGCCGCAAGGCCTTCGCCATGCAGTGCCCGCGTTTGGATATCGCTGGCATAAGTCGGGACGACACCCCTTCAAATCGCCAAGACGGTTGGCAATCGGCCGCCAGCAAACAATGATGCACTGTCCAGCCAACCGAAAGTAGCTCCTGCAGAACTATCTTATAACCGCTGTCATCTTGGGCAACGCTTGCTTGCAGCGGGACCGATCAACATCATGGGCGGGCGATCGACTGGATTTGGGTAGCATGCCTGCATGAGCTGTAAAGATGATTGGACTCGATACAACAACATGAAGGTTGTCTACAGGACACATTGCGCCTATGGTGATGTCTCCTTTTCCAAGCAGGCCTTGATGTGATCTGTGACCTGCGCCATCGGACCATGACCGCCTTGAAAAACCACGACCCCGTCCTTGACCACGTAATTGCGAAATGGCTATGCCATGTAGGTATCCCCCACCTCATTGCCCATCCCGTCCACGACCCAAGGTATATCCAACTTGGGCTCTCCTGTGCTGACGAGGTAGTCTGAGAAATCCCTGTAAAAAGCCGCCACCGAGTCGATGCGCTCTTGCAGCGTTTTCGGCTGGGGGATGTTCCATCGACCGTTGTTCTCGCCATCCGCGCCAGGGAACCCGTTGTTCGTGCCGAAGGGGATGCCGTCGCTGGTGTGGTTTTCCATGCAGCCCACGAGCAGAAAGTCAGCCTTGCCGCGGAACTCAGCAGCGAGCAAACTCATCTCGCGCGCGCCGTTGCGAGTGGCGGGTCAGGTGCACATAGCTCCCATGCAGAGCACCAGCGGTCGACCCGGGCTGGCGAAGCTGAGGAGCTTGGTCGTCGTGCCGTCCGGCCTGTGGACGTCGAGGTCGGTGGCCTCGAAAGAAACCTTGGGGCCGTCAATGCCGCAGCATGAGGACTTGAGGGGCCCGAGTATGTCCACCGAAATCATCTCCTTGATGCCGCCGCGCACGAACACGGCCCTCAACATATCGCCAAGAGGAATTCGCTTCATCTCCTCGGACGCCATGGGCGTGGGATAATATTTGGGCTTCGTCTCCTGGGATGTCATTGATCCTCTGGAGGTCCAGCTAACAACGCACAACCAACGGGCTGGAAAGCGTATGTTCTGAACAAGCCTTGAGCCAAATACTTGAAGATGTGCTGACAGAACAACTTGGGCAGGCGACCTCCTGTCCGACATCGCTCACGTCCGCGGAGACGCCGGCAACAGGCCCTGCTCAGCATAGACAGGAACGGCTGTCCATCTGGGCCACCACTCTTTCCGCACAGTCAGCCCGTACAGCAAGGCTGCGCGGTAAGGATGGAAGGGCCTTGGCCTTGGAAGGCCATGTCGACACTTTGCTGGCGGGGCGCGGCCAGCGAAAGCGGCCAAGGATGGGCCGAAGGGTAAGGATGCAAGGATAACCTTGGAAAGGTTGCTCATCCTTACTTTGGGGATGGACAGACCCCCCTTTAGTAAAACGTGGTTTAGTGAAAACGACCTGAGGCCCAAACCTGGCGGGCGCAAGCCTGGAAAATAACGGCCACGGCGCCCTCTCGAGAACCGAAAACGGACAATTCACTAATCGACGTGTCACTGTTGGGGGTTCTGTCCACCCCCGATTACTATGCGAGAGCGCCCGCAGGGCCGGAGCAAAGGGGGGGGTCTCCCCTTAGCTACTCCCCTCTCCTTTGGACCTTCCCTGCCCGAAGCCCCCCCGCTCCCCCCCTTTTTGTCCGCCCCGCGGAAGCCAGAAGGAGTGCGAAGGGGTGGTCTCTCACTGCGGTCTCGATGCGCGCCAATGTCGCAGGGCCTAGCAGGCGTGGCACCTAATCGACGCCAGAAGGGGTGCGCAGTGGACGTTTCTGTACGCGCCAATGTCGGGTGGCACTTTCTCGACACCGTGGGGGGGGCGCGGGGGGTGGTCTCTGAGCGCGGTCTCTGCACGGTCCAGGCTCGGAAAGTGTGTCAGGGGGGGAGTTTCTTGACACCAGAAGGGGTGCGCAGGGGGTGGTCTCTGAGCGCGGTCTCTATACGGTCCAGGCTCGGAATGTGTGGCAGGATGGCAGGGGTGGTAGTTCTCGACACCAGAGGGAATGCGCGGGGGGTGGTCTCTGAGCGCGGTCTCTGCACGGTCCAGGCTCGGCCAAAGGGGTGCGCAGGGGGTGGTCTCTGAGCGCGGTCTCTATATACGGTCCAGGCTCGGAATGTGTGGCAGGATGGCAGGAGTTCTCGACACCAGAGGGAGTTCGCAGGGGGTGATCTTTGAGCGCGGTCTTTATACGACCCAGGCTCGCAAAATGTAGCAGGGGTGGCAGTTTCTCGACGCGGTCCATGAGCTAGGTCTGTAGACGGTCCAGGCTCGGAAAGCGTGGCAGGGGTGGCAATTTCTCGACGCCCTCAGGGCACTCAGGCTCCCAAGGCTCCCAAGGCTTGACCGGAGTCACCAACGGGATCGGCGGGACAACGGCCACCAGCATCATTCTCGCATGTTTCGTGTCAGCTATCACCACTCCATATATAATACAAGTATGTGGGGTTCCTCGGTTGCGTAATTCACATGTGTTTGTTCCTGTAAGTGGGGGGGGGGTACGACGATGCCCTGGAGGAAGCGGCAGTGCTGGATCTGTCTGCAGTCCTCCCCCCGTGCATCCAGGAGGGCGGAGAAGGAGCAGGGCCAGGGCATCGTGGGACGCGAGGAGGGGCGAAGGATGGGCGAGGAGGGGGGAGGAGGGAGGAACCGAGGAGGCAGGAGTGAGGGTGGAGGGAGGAGGTTGGCGCGGGGAGGGAGCGGGTGCATGGGGAGACCGGGGAAGAAGGGGAGGGGAAGGCAGCAGGAAGGCAGGAGGGGGGGCCGAGAGGGGGGGGAGGCCGGAGGACGGCGGTGCAATCGGCACAGGGCCGCACGGTGTGCAGCCACGAAGGCTCGCCAGGGGGCAGCGCGGGCGCGCGCCCCACACGGCGGGCGCCGGAAGTGGAAGGGCCGGGCTCCCCCGAGGTTCGCAAACGTTTGAAATCAGGAGCAGGCGTCTGAAACCACTCACACGACCTTGAAAACAATATGAAAAGAAGGTCGAGCGCGTCTGATTCAAGAGAAACCAACCCTTAAAGCTTGCATTTCAGCCTCGAAAAAGAGTTCGTATCCTTATTATTTGGATTTCGTAGAGCGTGTCGTCTGTTTGCCTTTTTGAGCTTTGTTGTGGGCGGTGATATATGAAAACCTCCATTCCTCGTTCCTCCTCGTTCCTCCTCCCCTCATCCTCCTCTTCTTCTCATGATATTATATTATTATTACGCTCGCCTCCTCATGATGTCCCCCCTCTTCCTCTTATCCTTATTTCTTCCCTCATCCTCCTCCGCCTCCTCTTCCTCCGTCTCCTCCTCCTCCTGGTCCTCCTCCTCCTCCTCCTCCTCCTCCTCCTCCTCCTCCTCCTTCTCTTCCTCCTTTCCCTTCGCCCTTTTCCCTGCTCTCCCTTTCCCTGGCGGGGGGGCGGCCGCGCGCCGCACCGTGGTCAGCGCCATCTGGTCGACAGCAGCCTCCTTTACCTCCTCCCCCTCCCCCTCCCCCTAGGAAAGCAGCATTAGTTGCGATGCTATGCTATGATATGCCATGATATGCTGCGTTATGTTATGCTATGCTATGCTGTGCTGTGCTATGCTATGATATGCTGCGCTATGATATGCTATGCTATGTTATGCTGTGCTGTGCTGTGCTGTGCTATGCTATGCTGTGCTGTGCTGTGTTGTGCTGTGCTGTGCTGTGCTATGATATGCTATGCCATGCTATGGAGGAGGATGGACAAGGAGGCTGACCACGTTGTGTTTCCTCTGGAGGCGACTCAACGTTTAAAACGTGTTGACCAACCATTTCTGCAACGTAACGTGACTAACTGTGGAAGGGGTGGCATGAAACTGCACAATGCTTTACGTGGCCTTGCAAGTCCTCGTCGCTGTATGTCCATGCGAATCGGTGGTTAATCCATAGCTGCAGCTCGCAAGCGTGCTGAAATAAATGGAATTTCGGAGAAAGCTTCCAAAATCTCAAAGACGCGTTCAATGCTTCTCGAGACAATGTTTTGTAGATGGCCAAAAAATGTGTGCAACAAGTCTCGATCCTCGATTTTGCTGAATCCGACATGAAACGAGGCTCTGCTTTTATGATTCTGTAATACTCCGCAAGCAACTGGGCACACGCCAAACGTCGGTTATCATGCGTCGATCCTGAATTATGCTTAGCAGCAAACTCCGCTAACCACTGGACGAGGTGTCGGTTCGAAGCTGTCTTGCCTTTGAATTTAGGCCAATCGTTAGTTGACCTCAATCGTTCCATCGTGATGGCCCCTCTGATGCGGTACATGTTTGGATGGCTCTTGTACCAAGCGCCCAATTCATTTCGTAAGTTCTCGAGCTGCTTGGCTTGGTTTGGCCCCAGTGCACCTGGTGCCATTACCTCCAGAATGATATTTCCAATCAGATGCGAGCTCACCCCCAAATCTATTGCATGGAGTATGTCAATTACAACTCCCTCTAAGCGAAGCGTGCGAATTCTGAACAGCCCTGGTGGCTGCTTACCCTCGGCCAAAAGTTGTTCCATATATGTTTGATGAGTCCGAACTGTCAATCTCCACGCGGCATCGGGCCCTGACTGGGTCCATACCAAGGGGCCAGAAGGGGATGCCCCGCACAACCAGCACATGTTTGGCTCCTGCGTGGACGTAGGGAACCCTAGAACTTGGTTGTAAAATTCCCAATCGCCGCGAATCTGAACTGCCGCAGCGAGCCAACCGCCGAGCAGCTCTCGTCCTCCGTCTCTTAGAGGCCTGCCGAGCCAATCGTAATTTGGCATTGTTCCATCCGTCAAAGCATTCATTGCCCATGCGAGCCTGTCCCATAGCGCCTCAAGGGTTCCCTTGACGATGTTGCCTTTCTTGATGACTGTGAAGATGAGCCTCGATTTCTTGGTTGCTGCACTCGGCCTGCAATGAAGGCTGTTGGTCGAAATCGCAAATAGCCCATCAGTTTTGTTGGTCGGAGCACCATCGCCATGAATACCCAACCCAATCGTATTACCAGGATTTGTGATATAGTCTCTGATGCCACCGAAAAGCTGCGTATCGTGAATACCTCGCCAAAAATCTCCAATGTCTTCTTTGGGGCCAACGATGTAATCGTAGAATCTATTTCTGTCCTTGTTCAAAAGAGCCTCAAGTGTATCAATGGGGCAAATTGTTGGGTGCCGCTGCTTGGTGTTTCCTGGGCCAGGGATGTCAATCCAGCGAATCCGCGGGGCCTTGTCAGGCGCCCCGGCAGCATTGGCCACGGAACGACGTGCGTTAGTCGGACAAAGGCCCGACCCCAAATTGCCGACACCTCGAGCTCCCTGGGCGGACGCTGCCTCGGACAACTCTAGAACGTCCTCGGCGCTAATGCGCCCAGATGACCATTTCTTCGTGACAAGATCGTTGAACGGCCTTGGCTGTTGCGCATCAATATCACGTTGGCTCGCCAATCTCTGACGAACACCTCTGCCTGAAGCCTCGTCTGGCCTCTGGGCTTCCACTGCCTCAGCTGCCAACCTCTGACGAATGCCCCCCTGGCCGCTGGCACTGGGGGCTCCGCCCGAGACCGCCAAGCTGGGTGAACCAGAAGCGCCGCGCGCAACGTCAAGACCCAAACGGTGCTTGACGCCACCTCTGCGCCCCGAACTCATGAAACTCTCGAACCAAGAAACGCCTACATACAGGCTGGGGTTCTCGATGGGGATGGGCGCATGGAGGACGCTGGCAGAGAGCGATCACGGCCATGGTCACATCAATGGCCCAATCAGGTTTGCCTCAGAGACCCTCAGGGTTCTTACTACATCTTGTAGGCCCCACCCGATAAGGCCCAACCTGATTGGGCCCCACCCACAAGGGCCCCGTCGCATAGAGTCCCATCTGATAAGGTCCCCATAGGGCCCCAACCCACGGGGTCACACTACTCAGGGTCCCACCCGGCAGGGTCACGCCCGATAGGGTCCCAGCCATGGGCCATGGCATATTGGCAGGCATCATCCTAGACACTGGCTAGGCTTTCTAGGCCAGAAACCAGCGTCAATGCTTTATGACATGTTGACCGATTTGGGGCTGCTCAGAGGCTCTTAAGGTCCTCTAGGGTGGGGCCCCGTTCTCGGATCGCACCTGAAATGCACATACACATGCATACACACGCATACACATACATACATACCTACCTACATACATACATACATACATACACACACATACATACATACATCATACATACATAGAGCCATACAACCATACATTCATACATACATACATACATACGTACATACATACATACATCCATACATCCATACATCCATACATCCATACATCCATACATCCAGCCATCCATACATACATACATACACACGCATACATACATACATACATACATACATACATGCATGCATACACGCATCCATCCTTACATACACACATACACACATACACGCATTACATACATACATACATACATATATACATACATACATACATACATAAATACACACATACGTACATACATACATACATACAAACACACATACACACATACATACATACATACATACATACATCCATACATACATACATCCATACATACGTACATACATACATACAAACATACATACACACATACACACATACATACACATACACACATGCATACCTACACATGCACACGCGTACATCCCTTCACACGTACATACACACATATACGTACTTACATACGCATACACACTATGGACGTTGGTTGTGATATCGTGGCTGGCCTTTCGAGGGCTTCTGGGAGGCAGTTTTGAGGCCGTTGAGTCCCTTGGGCCGTCTTGGGGAGGCCTTGGGGGGGCAAACATAAATGCGGAGTGTTTTTTTTTCACAGCCCCGCAGCGTATTTTTTTCACAGCCCCGCAGCGTTTTTTTTTTTTTTTTTTTTTTTTTTTTTTTTTTTTTTTTTTTTTTTTTTTCATTATTTTTTTTTCTGCGCGCCCTCCCCGTTCCCCACGCATCCTGAGGCATCTTGGCCGTACTGGGCCGCTCTTGGGGGCATCTTGGGCCGTCTTGGGGAGGTCCTGGGGGGCCCATGGCGTCGTTGTTGGCAGTTGTTTTTTTTGTTTTTTTTTTTGCCGCGAGGCTGGTGCCGTAGCAACGTGGCGTCGTTGCAAGCTCGGGTGTCCGAGAGCACCCCTCCTCGAGCGTTGCGGACGGCCAGCCTCGCAAGAAAGAAACGCTGGGCTGTGTGGCAGCAGGGCGAATCACTTCACTAGGCTTTGCGGCTCCTCTTCGGGTTGGGGTTCGAGAACTTGGCGTGCCACTCGCTGAGGTGGTTGAACTCCGTGAACAGCGTGTCCATCTTCGTTGAGATGGCGACCAGCTCCTCGCATGAAATTGGTTCCTTAGCAAGGGCCGCCCTCTCCATGGTCTTGTACATGCTCGACACCTTCGGCAGCAGCCTGCCAATGTCGGAGTTGAGCCCCCCAGCGTACTTCTCCTGCTCGGTGGCTTGGAACATAGCCTTCAACTCCACAACGATGTCTCCTAGATGGCGCAGCAATTTCCTCGGGTCCTTCGAGATGCCCCTTCATCGTCTCGGTCTCATGCACGGAAGCCCCGCCCGCGGCAGCGCTGGTCTCGGTGACGGGCTCCTTCTTGATGGGGGCGCCCCTGAAGACGGCCGACGATCCACTCCCACTTGACGGGAGCCCCACCGCGGCGAAAAACTGTGCGTTCTCGTTGAAGAGGTCGACCGCTGCTTTCTTCAACTCATCGTCGGTCAACTCGGTGTCGCCTTGGATCTCTTTATCCTCGTCTTTCCTATCTGAGCGGCCACCTGAGTCGTTCCAGATCTTGTACTCCGCATTCCACTCGTCCATTGGCCCCGAGTCGGGGTCGGCCCTCACCTCGAGCTTGCCCGAAGATATCTTATCGTTTGTTTTCTGCTCGCCAAAGTGGTTGATCATCGTTTGCTTGCTCATCCAGGTGAACTGATGATGCGACTGAATGCTATGCTGCACCTTCTGGGACTGCTTCATCGTAGCCTTCGTTCTCTTCTCAGCGAGGTGCTGAGCGAACCATGCGCTCATGAACTCCTTTTTGACATCGTCTGGTGAATGATCGTACTGCTCCTTCTTGTTGTGAGCCTGCAGAAAGTGCACCATGGAGGACTGAGCTCGCTTGCGCTGCTCGGCGTCGGCCAGCAGCTCCTTTGCCTTGGCTAACTCCGCTGGCGCCACTAGAGGCGGCGATATGGGTTCCATGGGTGTCTTCGTCAGCTTTTTCTTCTTGGGGGCCATCGCATCCAATCTCTGAGGAGGATGCAGCCTGGACTTCGGACTCCTAGAAGATATAGGGATTGGGCCACAACGGCCACGGGTATTGGGAGGAGGAGGAGAAGGAAGAGGGGGGAGGAGGAAGCTCGCCCAAAAAAAGTTTCCGCTCGCGCGAAGACGAGCCCACGAGGCCCGAAGGGGGGACATACTGCACAGAAGAGGGCCCAGCCGGTAGTAACAAATGTGAGAGACGAAGCCCTTAAACGCAACATGGATGTGACATTCAAAGGCTGGGATGTCGGAGGGGGGATGAGGACGACGGCGCCAATCCCCAGCGGTGTCTCCCGACATCCGACGCTCTGTGCCGAGCCCGCGCCGTCGTTCACCAATACCCTGTGGGTGTCAACGCGACATAGAAATGACATAGAATAACATATTATGTTGCGCCTATGTTGCAATATGTAAAACTGTCTATAACATAGTACCGACATATTATGTTATTCTATGTCGGCTCTATGTTGCGAGTTGCTTGATTTAATGAAACACACAAAATCTAATCTCAAGTCTAGTATAGTTTATGTGCGGTTGCCATTCCCCAAACAGCGCGGCGCCCTCGGGCCCTCGGGCCCTGTGACCTGTTGTAGCCCCCCCCAGTCCCCCCCCTCAACCTGCTCCCCCCCCCTCCGGCCTCCTCGGCACCAAACCTGATTGGGTCTGAAAGTTTCAGACCCAATGGGGTCCCTCCTCATCCTCCCCGCCGAAAACTCTGGATTTGGAAAATACATGTTCGGACTCCTCCTTCGGAAAAGGTAACGGCCCGTCTGCCTCAAGAACGCTTCCTGGAAGGATCTGAGCTCCTAGAACACGAGATCGAAGTTGTTGAGGGTCGATGCGGTAGCTAGCTGCTCGGGCCGCCACCTTGGGCAGCATCGTTGGCATGAACGCTCGACGCGGGGACTAAACATGCGATGCGTCCTGCCGCCCAAGCTCACCTCTGGGGCGCCTAGCACGGCACCTGGCTGTCCTCGATGTGCTCCTCGCCGTCTGAGGGGCCGGCCGCCTCGGGGCTCGACTCGAGGTCCTTGAGCGGCTCGGGGCCCCGCTTGGGCTCAGTGATCTCGTCGCTCGGGTGGCGCTTGACGACCTTGACCTTTGGGTTGATGTGCCCCTCCACAGTAGTCTTGAGCTCGGTGCGCTTCTCCATGAGGTCCATCATCCTGACGCCGAAGGTGCCGCACGAGATCGGATCATGCACCCTGCCCTGCTGGGCCTCCTCCCCGATGCTCGCCAGAATCGAAGATTCAAGAGCAAGTTCGTTGATTGCTTGGCGAAGGCTCTCAGTGTACCGATGGTCTCCCACTTGGACGAGCCACGCCGCGAAGATGGTCGTCATGCTCTCCAACTCGTGCAAGAATCCTTGTAAGACAGTCGGGTCTTCGTCAACAATGCTCCTGTCGAACTTGTCCACGTCTGGGCCATCTTGGGGCGACACCTCGAATGGTTGCGAGGCCATAGCGCGAAGTATTGCTCGCAAAGCTGGCTGCCAGGATGTGGTGAATAGTCGCCAGAGCCTGCTTGAGCCGAACTTGCTAAGGATCCGTTCGGTCGTTCGGATTGTTCGGATTGTCCTCGTTTGGATTGTTCTCGTTCGGATTGTTCTCGTTTGGATTCTCGTTTGGATTCTCGTTTGGATTCTCGTTTGGATTGTTCTGTATCGTTTGACTTCGGTCGTTCGGATTGTTCTCGTTTGGATTATCGTTTCAGTTTTGGTTGTTTGGGTGTCGGCTGCGTTGTCTGGGCGCGGCCGTTCCCTCGGCTGCCAGCTTCACCGCTTTGGAGTTACATGGCATTTTTTCTGGCAGTGGCACGCCTCGGAGAGCACTCGTTTGAGCTAAATCTGGCCTGAAGGCTGACCAACACATTACACGCAATGCAAGTTGTGACCCCAAACTGGGCCTGACGCCCGAGTCAGGCTCATGCCGTCTGGCCAATTTCCCCAGCCCATCGACCCTTTTCATGCTTGCTAACGTCCGACGTGCCCTGAGATCCCTTGCCCGCCCCCTAAAAAGTAACCCAGCAAGCTCAATGCAAAAGTGACAGATCTAATTCGCCATTCAGCCGCTG